CCCCATGATCCCCTATTGCCCGGGGGCCCCATGAGTTGTCAGTCTGCCCTGCTCACTAGTATTGCTATGTTAAAGTATTGATGATGTAAAAAATCTGGTTCCCAGGCAGGCAGTTTCAGCTCTCCAGCCCTCCAAGATTTCCTTGGCTTGTAGAGTTTCAAAAATGGAAATAGAAGCACCACACTACTGCTCAGAGGTCCAGATACGACTTTACTCCAATAAAAGTCTTGGGGGGCAATCCAAAAAGTGGCCAATGTGTTTTGGGGATCCACAGATCCAGAACCCTTCATCAGAGCTTTATTTACAGTAAAGTGAACAGAGGAGAAGTGAACTGGACATTTAATGTTATTTTTCCCAGTGTGATTGCAAGCACAGGCCTCGTCAGCAGCTAGTTTGGCAGCAACCACGCTAGACAAATGATCTTCTGGCTTCAGGCAGCTGTCCCACAATGGCACACACCAGCTCCACCCATGGCTCCTGTTATCACCTGGGATGTGATGGGGATATCTCAGGAGGCTGCTGGAGAAGTAACATGCCATTCTTGCCTAGGCGAGAATTGCAGTGGGGAAAAAAGGCAAGGCCAAATAAAAATTAAAAAAAAAAAGGAAAGGAATACAGGGACGTAAAGCCACTTAACCCGTCCATAGACGGTTCAAATTTTGGCCGGTTCAGCAAGGACTGGCCGAGATTCAAACAATGTATGGGCAGGCTGAATGTACCCAAGTTAATTGAACTACTTGGGTACAACCAGCCTGTTGAATAGTACATACAATTATTGCAAGTGGTTATTATAGCAGCTAGCAGTAATAACTATATTCTTCCAGCTGGGACTGCTCCACAACGCCCCCCCACAGGGAGAACACAAGCACTCCATGAGAAGGATTCCACCATCAACACTGACTGTGTTGATGGGGGAGTCCAGCAATTTTCGCTCCATCTATGGCCGACTTTAGGGGAGTGAAGGTTTGCCTTAAGTATTTTAACAAACGAAGGCTTTTCTACTAAAGCATTCTTCCAATTTCAGTTTATTTATCTGTCCATTTCATTAGACCTAGACTCTATGACATGTATTATGACTTTAAAACAGCACATCGCTCATCCTGCCCACACCCTAAAAAACCTCTGTTAATTGGCATCCTATCATAGAAGCAATTATATAAGAATTAACCATATATTTATATCTTATCTCACCGCCATTCCACGCCATGTATGCTCAGTGTTTATTATCAAGATAATGCAGTTCACTTAATAGAATAGATACATCTGCCCTGGAGGGGTTTACTATTGTAATTAAAGAACAAAAAAAAAGTCTGATCTTATTTTAATTTGTTTGCCTTTCTCATTACCTCTCCCATCAATAACCAAGTCTATTAAAACTAGAACAGCAAGATATATGAAACTTTGATTAAGAATTGAAAAAAAAAAAGAGTACAGTCTGGGCTAAAGTCATATCATTAAAGTATGTATAATAAAATCCACTCTGTATAACCATTGAAAGCCCATCTCTGGGGAAAGGAAATCCCTTTCTTGTATTGGGGCTGCCCCTGGAATGCAAGGGTTAAATGGTTGTTTAGGTCTAGGGCCCTGTTCACATATCCATGTTTCTGATAGTGAGGCAAACCACATAAAAAGTGTGCTCTTTGCCATGTGTTTCGGAAATTTACATTATGCTTGCACTACCATTAACTCTTTCACTGCCAGAGCCATTTTTACATTCATTGCACACATGTTTAAAAATCATTTTAGGCCCGAAGATTAAACAAAACCCCCGAAACATTATATATTTTCTGAAAGCAAACACCCTAGAGCAGTGGTCGGCAAGCTGCGGCTCGCGAGCCACATGCGGCTCTTTACACATTTTAATGCGGCTCTTCTGTGTGCCGGGCGCCCGCTCCCCTCCCTCCTCTCGGGCGGCCGAGGACTCTGCAGCTAGCCCAGCAATGATTGCCCAGTCTCGCTGCCACTCACATCCTGATAGCTAGTGATTGGCTGTCAGGATGTGTGTAGGCGGGGCAGCGTGACGAACGTGAGGGGAGCTAGGCTCCTCTCACAGTCCGCCCTGAAGACCGGAACGGCGCAGGGAACACGGCGAGAGGAACGCGCGGAGCAAAGGTAAGTGAATTGACACAGGAGGGACTTGGCTTACTACTTGCTACTTACTTATTACTACTATATGAGGGATGAATTAATATGGGGGATGAGTTACTCTGTGGGGGATGAGTTACTCTGTGGGGGATGAGTTACTCTGTGGGGGATGAGTTACTCTGTGGGGGATGAATTACTATAGGGGGGATGAATTACTATGGGGGATGAATTACTATATGGGGGATGTATTTTCAGTTTTAAAATTTCAAAATAAATTTCAATCGTGGTTTTGGCGAGATTTGGCTCAGTTGAAAAAAAAGGTTGCCCACCACTGCCCTAGAGAATAAAATAGTGGTAGCTAAAATTTTTTATGTCACACGATATTACGGCAAAGGTCTAGAAAATCTAAATTTCAGTAAGAAACACACTAAAGTGAATTTTAGGGCAAACAAATACAAATTTTTGGTAAAATATAAAAGACAAGGTTGCGCCGAGTAAGTAGATACCCAACATACCAACCCTAAATGTGTGTGCCATTTGAAATGGTGACAAATGTTATGTGCTTGGGTGTAACTTTATTTTTTTTCAATTAAAAAAAAAATGTACTTAACTTTTTTTTTCTTTACATAGGGGACACAAAGTCCCTATGTGATGATTTTTAGGTGATAGTTTCTCTTTATTGAGACATGGGAGGGGCAAAAAAGACCGCATTGCAAGACATTGCTTTTCGGCTGTGCTAGCTGAGAAAGTGACAGCAGTGACCCGGAAGTGACAACGCACACGTCGCTTTCCGAGTCACAGACAGAAGGGGAGGAGAGCAGAAATTTGTCTGCTCTCCTCTCTTCCTTCTATCTGCCATGGCACTCCCCAGGCCCATAGGGGGGGCCAGATACATGACCGGAGCAGGTGCGCTCGCACAGGGGCGGTACCGGGGGTGTGTGAAAGCAATCGGGGCTGCAGCGCAGCCACCCGACTGCTTCCACCTGACAGGCAGGAGTCTGCCTGTCAGTTTTCTACAAAATGCCCCTGGCTGCAGCCACCAGATTGTGTATAAAACCCCCCACTGTCAGGTATGTACCTGGTAAGACTAGCAGAAGGATTTAATGTTACTGCCACCCAAAGCGCAGGTAGTGGATGCACCAAAAAGCATTGTAAAAAAGCACCATCCTCTGCTACAAAAAAGTACAGGAGCTTCTTTGGGGCATTTGTCGTGTGTGGGGCAGCCCATCCAAGTGAATGGCCTGCCCTACGCACGACGAGCCTTAATGCGTGAAAAACTAGTTTAAAAAAACACAAGCTGGAACCTGAGTTACCGCTACATGCAGATGTGAATGAGGCCTAAGGGGCCACAAAAAGAAGTTTTTCTTACCCAATCTTCCACTCCCCTTGGAAGCCGATGCTCTTCTCTAGTTCCCTTTGCTCAGGCAGTGGACTGTTCTTCAGCATCCTCATGTCACGTACAAGGCTATGGGCTCTGCATTGACTTGATGAACACCTGTAACTGCCAAACATAGGGCAGCAGAGGCTGGGGGGCCAGTCTTACAGCCTGGAGGGAGCCTGTGAGAGACAGGAGGATCAGGCAAGTCATATTGGAACCCTAGACATAAAGCATTCACTCCTTGCAGTACAGAGGCAGCCTCACTATAAGGGAGAATTCTCCTTTTCTTGGAGTTCAGCTTTAAATATCTTTAGCTCCTATGTATAAATTCTTCTATTAAACACACACTCATTTGGGCCTAATTTACCAAAGAAAAAGAACAAGAGCATGGATAAATCAATACAGTATGCTTGCATTGTGAATTTGCATGGGTGCACAGATGTAGACACATATTGAACATGATACCTCAACTTATCTAGCAAACAATACCCTGATATTTAATGCATATGATGTGGTCCCAGTTTGCTTGAAAATTCCAAATAGTGCTTTTTTTGGGCTTTCTGTTCTGATAGGCAGGGCTGCTGTTAGAAATCACAGGGCCCCATACAGCCAACCTGACATCCCCCCCCCCCCCCCCCCCCAAATAATCAGCTTACTATGCTTCAGTTATGAATGAACACAGTGAGTCATCGGTACCAGTCACTCATTGTGTTCATTCAGGAAAGGAAGGGGCTATTAAATATGACATACTTACCAGGACCCTTCCCCCACTCTCCATCCTGAAAGATCCTATTGTGTGCTGCCGACATGAAGGAGAGGAGGAAAGCTGGCAGCACTGCCTCAGTTGGGGTAGAGCACACAAGGGGGTCTGGGCAGCAGCAGGGGGAAACATATGGTGCACAGGGGGAAATATATGGTGATCGGTGTGGCAGGGGGCAATTACTGGAACCAATGCACTGTATGGATCTCTCTGCAGCAGCAGAAGGAGAGGAGAAGATGACAGCTGCTGCAAAGACAGCCATACGGGATTGGTTCCAGTAATGCCCCCCCCCCCCCCACACAGATCAATCTACCTGCCCACATTTGATTCACCCTACTTTCTCGGCCCCTCCCCTTGTGGCCTGGACCATGTACAGGAGGACTGGTGGACTGGTGGTATCCACATCCTTGCTGATAGGGTACACCAAGTAATGCACATAATGGACACCAATGATACATATATGCCACACCAAACAGCATATCAGAAAATCATGAATGCCATGCCGTTGGCAGCATACAGTATACAGATACTTTGAAAACCTGCATGGAGACACCAGTGTATGAAATCATGTGGGTGCACAAGCCATGGTCACAGGGGACATTTCTGTTCATGCTTGAGTTGTCAGAATTTCTCCAGTAAAATGTAGATGGGAAAAAATGCATCCACTTCAATTTCTTCCTTTATTCTATAACAGACCAGCAATAAATACTTTGCTTTTTAAGCAATCACATAACAAAATTTACATAAATATTTAAAGTGAAAATTCTACAGTACCCTATTGTGGAGACTTCCTCTCACTTCCTGTCCCAGTAACCACCCTGTCATACACGCAAAAAGTGAACACTGAATATGTGGAACCGAGGAGCTGGATTCAACTCATCAATTCCACATGACTGGAGAAGATCAAACAAATTCATATGGGGCGCAAAGGCTCCAGTAAGATTGCCCTTAAATAGAAAATATCACATTTAGAAACTACATGCACAAAGTCCAAAAGGAGCACCAGACCTATGAGTTTGAAAACTTTCATTATACTTATATAGAGTCATGAATGTATGCAACGCTTTACATATTGTACATTCACATCAGTCCCTAACCCTCAAGGAGCTTACAATCTAAGGTCCCTAACACACATTCATACATACAAAGACTAGGGCAAATTTAGACAGGAGCCAATTAACCTCCCTGGCGGTATGATTATTTCTGATTTTTGATGCTGAAAGCGGTACCATTATTTTGCATGGAAATAAGTAGTTTTTTTATTGTAGGCCTGTAATATTTAGGAATAACTCACTGAAATCTGTCCGAACAAGAGTCTAGTAAACATCCCGGGGATGATAAAATTTGAAACACGAAATCATGAATTATAATTTAATAAATAATCATAAAAAAAAAATAATAATATAATAATAATACATTTAATTTAATAATATAATCAAACCGAAAACACTGAAATTTGAAATATAGCTCCAAGTTCGCACATTGCTGAGCAAAGTCGCAAAAACGTTTTCAGTGTCTGATGACGAATTTCTCCACGAATCATTATCACTCAATTCTGCAAGTGGTTCTGATTTACTATCGCTGTTCTCTAGCTGATCTAAACCTGCTTTTTACCTAAAGGGACACTTTTTGGACACCATGGACGTTTCTCAGTTTCCAGGCAGAAAGAACAGTCAAAACGCAGGCAGGGCGCAGGACAAAGCACTCGGGACAAAATGTATGTGAAATGGGTTGAAACAGCAATGTTTTACTATGAAAAATGTGTTTTGAAAAAAATTAAATTTTTTTAAATTTTCAAATTTCCCGCCGCCGCCGCCCGTACTTCCCGACGTCACAGGGACCGGAACACAGAAGCCAGATGCCGGCATCGGCCGGAGGAGATGGCCGGGGACGCTGCAGGGGACACATCGCGGGAGCGAAGGACAAGGTAAGTGCTGCAGGGACTCCCTATGCAGCGCCGCATGGTAAGCCCAAGTGTAGCTCGGGGTTACCGCTTTTGGCACTGACATTTTACCCCGAGCTACACTCGGGAATACCGCCAGGGAGGTTAACCTACCAGCATGTCTTCAGAGTGTGGAAGGAAACTGGAGTACCTTGAGGAAACCCACACAGGCACAGGGAGAATGTGCAAACTCTAGATATGCTGTTGTTGAAATTCAAACCAACAACTAGACATGTGTGTTTCATTTAAAAATGCATCAATTTTGGACAAAAATTTTATTTTCGGAGATTCGGATGTATCCGAATCTCCAAATTGACATAATAACAAATGTCAAGGAACCCAAAATGTTATAACAAGATTAACAAGTGCATTTGCTTCATTCAGATGGCATCACGTGATGCAATAGTAGTTCAGGCCCATGGGAAAATTAATTACATTTTCAATAATTGGATTTGAGTAAATTTGTGTTTTAAATTGAATTTGTATTTGTCACATGCACTCAGTTCAGTTCCAGAGTCTAATGCAATTCTTAGGTTTGAAAAATTTGGGGAGCGCCAAATTTAGCATTATTAGTTCCATTGCATCTGAAAATAGTGAATCCTTCTGAATAGTTTTGATATATGAATATCAAATCCACCTGAAATATCGAAACTGAAAATGAATGTATAGCAATCTTAAAAAAAAACTGCAAATTTTTTCGAATTCACCCAGACCAACAAATGTATGAAACGAATTCAGACAACAAATCGGCTCAACATAATGAATATGACTAAATGAAATTCTTCAATGAACAAATGCATCCAAAACTACACAAAAATTCCCAGTGTGCATATGTCTACCAACAACCCTAGTGCTGCTAGGTGGTAGTACTAACCACTTAGCCACTTTGCTACTTCATACTTTTATATTGGAACTTGTTCAGCAAGACAATTTTAAACAGATTTTAGGGGTTCAAAGGTATCCCCCTTCTTCAGGGCTAAGTTATTTTATAGACCTGGAAGGACTTAAAATGGCTAGTCAGCACAATTAATTGTTTGATATCAAAAATGTAGTAAAATAGCGGCAGCACTCTCCTCAGCACTGTCATTTTTTTAAACATCAAACAATTAATGATAATTCTGCCACTTTGAGTGCTCCCAGGTTTATATAATATTTGAGCCCCGAAGAAGGGGGATTCTTCTGAACCCCAAAATTCACTGGCTGCTTTGTATGATTTTGGGGATCAAACTCCAACATACGTTTTTAAACTCTCAGCTCGTTGGTCTGGCACTCTTTTTGGACTTTGTATAGTGAAAATAAAACACTGCAGAGGTTTTAACCCTTTCTACGCTACAAAAAAAGCCTATCTTTCTCTGTTCTTGTTAGGGAAAATTCTGCTCGCTTTTTAGCCAGGTGACCAAGGTAAGGTTTTATTTTAAACATCAATTTGGTGTAAGATCCAACAAGTTTCAGGACCACTCAGGTTGCCTAAACCAGCCGTTGAATATTACTAAGTTCTTCCTAACAACATACCACATTTAAGCTCCAAGGAGCAGGGCCCTCGAACCCCTCGTGTATTGTTTTGTTACTGTATTGTCTCATGTACTGTCCCCCACTATAATGTGCAGCGCTGAGCAAACTTTTTGGCGCTATATAAATACTGTATAATAATAACACTAATAACACTCAGAATCCACACAAACAGTCCTCACACTCTCATAATCTCTAAAGTAGGGGGCAATAGGTGACCCCTGAAATGTTTTGGCTCTGTTTGGAATAAAACTTACCTTGGACTCCAATATTTCAGTGTGGCACTTTGATTCTAGACTCCAATATCGTCTTCAGACCCTGAAATTATTTTGGTAGTTCCTTGGTGCATGGAAGCTGCCCACTCATCACTTTCATTATCCTGATGGCCCACGGGGATGTCATCAACACAACATAAATTTTGAGTAACAAAGTATCACTTACCACCATCTGAAGGCTCCACGCCATCAATCTACTACTCTAAGCAACCAGAACAGAAGGGAATTGTAAAGCTGCCATGCATGGATTGAAATCCGGCCGGTTCAACAGGGATCGTCCGAATTTGATCCATGCAGAGAGGTTGTATAGAAATCAATATACTGATTGACTTCTGTACAACAGTAAAGCCGCCATGCATTGGATTGAAGTCCGGCCGGAGCAACAGGGATTGGTCAAATTTCGATCCATGCAGGGAGGTTATATAGAAATCAATCTACTGATCAACTTCTGTACAACGGCTCTGGTGAAATTTTTTCCACTGGAGCCGCACTGCCACCTATAGGAAGCAATGTTGATCAGTGTATTCTGACAGCGGGGAAGCCTTCCTGCTGTCTTAATACAAAACCTCAGTGTGAGGATTCCCCCATCCACCTTGAATGTGTGGATGGGGGAATCTGGTCCCTGCATGGATCGAAATTTGACTTCTGGTTGAACAAAACAAACTGACTCTTGTATGGGCTGCTTGAGTCTGTCTAATGAGGACATAGGCAGCAATAAAAACCTGTCAGAGATCAGAATATAATGGAGTGGTGGATACAAACAAAGTTTTCAAGGTACTGGGTCCTATACCCCATAATATCTGTTCAGTCTGTGATTTTCCATCGGCTTGAAGTTATTCTTTAAAAGTCAAATAGAAGGATAAGAATATGATGGATTTAGTTATATGCACACTGAAGCACACAGTAGTAGACAGGAGGGGTTTTTTTGTGTGAGAGTGACTATTACTCAGCCTTCAAAAAAAAGAAAATACGCTGTTCCTTTAAACTCAGTTGATTTTAGCAGTTTCAGCCAATGGACTGTAACTATGTTCTTAGGGGCATTCAATTCCAGCTTATCTAAAATTCATACAGCACATGTTAAGACCTCCTTGCTTCCCGTGCACAGAATTCTAGTCTCATAAATTTAAATTAAGTTGATCTGTTTCACTGAACAGGGAACAAAGTCACAGAGACGACACAAAATTACTTTTACCAAATAATATACACAGATGGTAAATGCGGCTACAATCCAGCGCCAACGCGTAATATCCTAAAGGACAAAACTAAATGCGCTAAGCAGAAAACCGCACTTACAAAAACATACTGTCAAACCAAGCTGATATTTCACTGTAGCAATAATAAAGTGTGACCCCACCATTAGCATATCATTACATAAATCCAAAATGATACTTATGCCTCCTGAAGTCAGGTGCCTGTGTAGTCTGTTATTTAGTGCTGAGCAAAGAGGGACAAGGGGGACCCAAAAGGAAAGGTACAGAGGAGCCCACATGGGGCCCAGTGCCCAAGATGGGTTATCAGGGCAAGTAACATGCTGGGTGTTGGTTGGAATTAAACTGCAACTCAGGGCCCAATATACAGTATTTCATCAAAACATATTCCTCAATAGCTACAGAGAATATAAATCCACTCTGTGTGCACCACTTGCCTTTGAAAATCCAGATGGTACCTTGTAAAAGTAGTAGTGACATCAGCACAGTGCTGCACATAGCCTGAGAGCAGAGCTGTGGGAGGGACCTAGCAGGTCCACCCACTGAAGGCTGCCTACTGAAAACTATAGGAGGGGGCGGAGACAAGACCAGTCACTCAAGGAGAGAGAGCAACAGTGATGGGTCTTTATTGCAGGAAGCTCATCACAGAGGCAATATTTACCTATCCCTGAGTTCAGCTTTAAGGCTAATCAACATAATTGACAGAACCAGGGCTGCTGTTAGAAACCATTGGAGGGAACCGTTTACGATGCCTCAGTTATGAATGAACACAGTGAGTGATTGTCACCGATCACTCATTGTGTTCGTTTAGGAAAGGAAAGGGCTGGTAAATGTAACACTATAAGGGAGAATTGTCCTTTTCCTGGAGTTCAGCTTTAAATATCTTTAGCTCCTATGTATAA